CGTGTTATCGGTAAAAGTGCACGGCGCCGACGGCGCCGACGGCGACGACAGACGCAGATGATGGCTATATGTACAGACACATCTGTGTCTGTACATAAAAATAACAAACCTTTTGGATAATATTTGTACATTGTTAATGCTAACAAAGATTAGGTTGGGCTAAAGGGGTATTACAAGATGCATGTTTATTTAGCTGACACATTTTGTCCTCACAACGCTTAGCTATGTTTTTAACAATGCCTGGTTAATAAGGAAAATTTTGCAAATTACTTTCAGTGAGAATGCACTTTGTGTAAAACATTTCGACTATGCCCTGCCACCAGAAATAAACAAATAAATAAATAAATAAATAATAAGGCCAAACATCTAAAATTAATGACCTGCGACAAAAGAAGTCACGAAGTTTTTTTTCTTTTTTTTAATTCGGATTTTAGGGAATAGCTCGAGTCATCACGAAAAAATTATGATAAGCCAATGATAAGTTTTGGTCATCATCCCAATCACCAGTCCACAAAAGCGTATTTACTTTCATTTTGCAAAAACATGGCCCGAATCTGACTTTGTACATTGCGGTAGGTGAGACGCATTGCAGTGCATTGCAGTCGCACTCAGTCCATGCAGTAGAGAAGGAAAAACGGGTGTAAACCTTTTCCCTGTTGACGGTTGTATTTCCTTTAATCCTGTGTCAGTAGGTTGTTTCTAAATTAAAATTGAATTTATTTCAACTTTAAACTTTCGTAATATGTTTCATATATTTTATGAAAGCAGCAGCTAGCATAGCGTCTGAATATTAAATATTCGTAATTGTGCTGTTTGAAGTTTATCTTAATTGTCATTAAAAAGAGTGAAATTTCTTTGCATATTTTTAAGTGAAACTACACTTTAAGTGTACATGTGCTGCAATTATTCTTCATGAAAAAATATTGAGCCGAGTATGAATTCGACTTTTTTCATTTCTTTAATTTCGATCTATATTCAATAATTCCACATAAAATCATGAAAAACGATAAAAATTCTAAGTATACCTTCATTTATTTTTGTATCACACATAGTGCATATATTGTAACAATTAATAAATATTATTTCCATAAAAATGCATAACCTTCCTGCTATTTCNAAATGCATAACCTTCCTGCTATTCCACTGTACTACATTATTGAATAAAATATTGATGTGATTGTCTATTTTACAGTTTTTTGAAAAGCAGTATTACCACCACCAATAAATATATCAAAGTGATTGTTAAAATCTGTACAATGCAACTTTGTAATTTGATAATTTGTGCAAAAAATCAATGATATCAGAATTAGAAAGAAAGAAATGATTGTCATTAACTTAGAAATTTGCAAATGAAGTTTCAGAAATTTGTGAACTGTGACCTCAAATAACATTTTTGCCTCATTTTTCTTCCTCCTAAAATAAACTTTCAATTGTGAAATAAAACAGAAACAGCAGATATATCAAAAATATGAGAAGTGATCTTTCTTGAGCACTTTCCAGGGGTTCTGCAAGACTACTTTTTCTGTTATATCTAGCCTCTCAAAACCACAATGAAAATGTTTTGAAGACTAGTGTGAACTGGGTATTGCAAAAATATAGAGAAAATATGAAAATCTGAAATATAACAGCTCAACTGTTATTAACACCAGACCTTTCAATTTCACAACCCTGTTGTATATGCCAGCTATATCCTGCTATGCATACACTAGCTACGACTACAGTATAGACTCTAAAACCCATAATTTACAAAATACTGCCATGATGAGCTGTGACAGCCCTTTGGTGCAATGGTAATAATTATGCTATATATTTTACACTATATATTTACATACATGAAGACATCATTTGATAAGTACAGCACCAGTTTTACTACCACTTTTGCCATTCACATCTGGCAGTCCACCGTAATACCAGGTCACACTTGAGCCAAACAATCTTGCACAGTTTCTTCTCACTGGGACATCTTCAGTTAACATTTTGAACCAAACAACAATCAATGCTTTACATATCACAGATGAATGTAACATGACAAGAACTGAGACTCTTCTCTAACATAACATGCCATTGGCATATATCTGGAACTTTCCTCGAAAATGGTAGTAGAAACATTTGATATTACACCAAAGTGGAAGGCTTTGCAACTTTACATCAAGTCCTACATCCTTAAGCTCCTTATTTGAAAATAAGTCCAAAAATGTAGGTCCTTCTGATCCAACCACTTTGGTACCTGAGCAGTTAATAATTAATTGTGTATATCTGCCACCCTGGCAAGAATCCAGCATCAAAAGCAGTCTTGTGTCAGTTGGCTGTAGGAAGCAGAACACAACAGTCATTGGGAAATGGAAGCCTGTTCACTGAAACTCCATGTTCTAAGTGAAGGATTATTCTCAACTCCATCCCTCATTCAAGGAGAGATATTTGTTTTAACAGCAGTGTTGAATTGTAAAAATGACTTAAGGATTTCACTATTTAAGCAATGAATTTGCATTTTCTACACAGTTCCTGGCATCCAGTTTTCGGGGGAAAAAAAACATATTTCGTAATAAAGTTCTTTATGAGCTCCTAATGAACTGCCATGAACTTTTCAATATTCAGATATTCCCAGCCAACACAACTTCATCATACTCAACCATAGTGTATATAATATCATAAGATATCAGACAGTCACAGGTCGAATGGTTATTGTCCATTCATCTTCCAGTGAAACTTTCCAGCAGTTTTGTACCAGCAGAGACACCACACACGTATGATTTTCTTTTGTTGATCTCTGCTCATGTTTGTTGATTCTCTCTAGTCCACTCCATCAAAACTGAGGAGACAGTGACAAGTGAACAGTGCCACAACCTTTTGCCAGTTTTATTAATGTCCTTTTTTCTTCTTATTCTTCATGATTTCCTCTAGTCAGTAACCCGCACCCCGTCTGTCTATAGATGGTAGCTGATAATGACCAAACATTGTCTTGGTTGCCTGGCTTGGACCCTAAAACAAATAATTAAAGTACTTTTATTATATATATATATATATATATATTTGAGTACAGGGATGAAGAAAAAGCACAATTCCTCTTACATATTTAAAATACTGATTTGTAAATTGGCACACCGAATACTAAAAGTGAGAATAACAAGCATGTCAGGAGTCCACCAAAACAGTGAGAAATGATGGTTAAAATGGCGTTTCAGTAAAATGCTGTATGAAGAATGGTTTTAAACATTTTGTAATAAGTACCTGTATTTGGGTATAATGCTGAAATTAACATCTTCCCTTTTTCAATTCTGGAAGACTGAAGCTTCCATTAGATAATTAGTGTGCAATGTATATCTGTCAAAATATGTGAAGAAAATTAATTATTTTTTTAATTCCACCATTCACATCTGACTTACTGATTGTATACTACAAAGAGTACACTTGGTTACTTAAGCTAAAATTGACATATAGTCTTCTTGTTTTCGTTTATCAATAGTATACACTTGGGCCTGGTTTCATCAAGGCTGGGTAGCGCTGGGGTTGGGTAGCTTCTAAGATTGCTAATCAATTTGTTACTTATTTAAGTTATTGTTTGTATCTAAAGCTGCATGTGATTTTCATTCTACCTCCCCCCCCCCCCCCTCCCTGTCATTTTATCCCATTGACAAGAATGAAAAACACTGTGGGAGATTTCAGAAACATCAATTTTTCGCGTGCTGTTGATTTGTCCTACGGCAAGCTTAGTGCAATCACACCCATTTTATCGTACTGATATTTCATCTACTTCCGTCACAAATTAGTCCAATATTTGCTGAATAAAAGCTATTTCGATGCCATGAAAACAATACGAAGTTCATAAAGCAAATTTAGATTTATTACAAAAAAAAGCCAAAATGCTTTCCTTATTTGTTTCATTATGGTGCTGTGTCACTATGCAGCATGGAAAAAACTTTTATTCAAGCATTATCTTACAAAGAAAATTATTGAATTTCTTCATCAAGTCAAATCCGTTACACAGACTATGGCAAAACAAATCAGTACCTGAACACGTTTCCATCCTATTGATCAATCCACTCGAGGTTTAATTATGATTCAAATCGATACTTAATTAATGCTGGCCAAGGAACAAAACAGAATAAAAAGACCTCCCCTGAGACAGTGTACCAAAATGTCAGAAAGAGACCCAAAGGTATTACATAAGCTTGTTATTTGTACGCCTTGATAAAAAGAAATGATCAATAAATCTCAACAAGGCATCATGTTCCTTTATGCAACCACAGTTACCTAGATGTAACAATGACATAACCAACAAGAGTAACTAACAAGAATTACTTCATTATTACTGTTGTTCCTTTAATTAACCCAAAATTATTAACTGGGTTCTCACTGCTGTTGCATTCCGTTACATAATTCAAGTTGTCAGCTGCATATAGATTGGTTTTCACCTTTTTCAATCTCCAAGGCAATTAAAAAATACCCTTTACTATGCAGTTCTGATGATATCAGTCTTAAAGTGAAAGTTTTGTTTAAACTGAAAACCCCTTGGAACTCAAAAATGTGCAATAACTCAGTTGATTGTCTGTCTTTGGAATATTTCTTAATTCTTGTTTGGAGGTGATTTTTTTCATTGTAATGGCATTGAAAGGCGATTACTATTTAAGTGAATTGTAGCAAACAATTCTGTTATATCTGCTTCTTTTCATGCGTTAACATAATGGAAAATCAGCTCTGCACAATATGGATAAAAACAATATAATTGGAAAAAAAGTTGTTTCTAAAGAGACTAACTCTGTTTTTACTTGAAAAATGATGTTCTATTCTATGTCAAGGGGTCTTAATTATGTGACACTCATCAATGAGAGATTTGATGAAGGGACAAAACATCACCCATGTGTACATCAAAACATGTAAAAACACATTCAGTCTCTTAAGAAATGATTTGCTTTTTTCACCATCTTTAAACAAGAAACAATTAACAATCTATTTCACTGAATACGATAACTGATTATCCCTAAAGCAAGCTTACCTTCGCTTTAGTTTTGTAAGCATTAGCAATGCTAGGCAACATGGTGGTATTCCCCGTGGCAGTCAGTTTGGGGAAGTGACCAGTGGAGAATGTTGTGGACGGGTAACTGGGATTCAGAGCTGTTGTCTGGGACTGGGTGACTTTTGGAAGCATTGTGGCCTGGTCAGATATCCTTTTGTGTCTCTTCTGGAAAAGAGTGGACAAAGGTATCAGCAATGCAGGGTGCAATCAAGGTTATCTTAAGACATCAACCATTTGCCAAATGTTTAATATGATAATCTCTACCACAAAGAAAGACAAATAATATATATATATATAAATAATCAGAAAGTCATACAAACAAAAAATAAATATAAATAAATCAAACAGAGTTATAACTTAAATATTTTTTTCAGGTGAAACTCATTCAAATTTTGTTCAAGATTTTGTGCCTTTAATAGTGAAACAAAATTCTTTGAAAGATGAAATTATTTTTTCTAGCAGCCTCACTCTTTAATGTTATAGCCAATAGTTTTTATTGGTGCTAAGGTTTATAAATTCATATATCAGTTTTGGATTTTATCAATTATCTAAATTATACATATAAAATAAATCTCAATCAAACATACAATCTGTTTGAAATATTCACCTCTTAACAGAATTATTAGAAAACAAAAAACAATCATCTTAGTAAGTCACTGATAATAGTGAATGCTCCCTCTGCTGGTTATTATTATTATTATAATTAGTTTTTCTGTTTTTTTTTTTTTTTTTTTTTTTGTGCACATATTTTTCTCAATCTTGGCACCACTGCACACTACAAACTTAAAACAAGCTGCAACATTTGAAACCAGGATAAACACCAAGTTATTGATATCTAAAATATGTACAAGGCTGTAAGTGGTAAGTCAAAATTTTCAAACTTTGCACATTATTTAGTTTGCTAAATATTTCAAATGGGTCAATAATTATGATTTCAAAGGCTTTTACCAGAGAAAACAGATAAACTGTGTCCAGATGACAACATATGACATGTAACACTGACGTATGTCAGAAAATTTAAACAGGGCAGCTGTAGGTAGAAATCCACTGAGACCAATAAGCCTAGCAATAACAATCCATAATGCAGCACCTAAGCAAATCAACTCCTCTGGATATCAGTTGAGCAATTATAATAGTCCCTATATAAATAAAAGTGTGTGTGTGTGTGTGTGTGTGTGTGTGTGTGTGTGTGTGTGTGTAAAGATTTGCTTCGAAAGAAATAAATATTATTTAATTGGGGCATTTTCCTCCTCATTTCTATCACTTAGTATAACAACAGTCACAGTAAGCAACATAAAAATCCAGACACTTTTTCACTAGTCCAGTCTCACCAATTTAAAAGCTACATGTCACTTATTCAAATCCAGAATTTTTATCATAAAATTATTGTCAACCAGGCAGTAAGAAAGTTACCTAGGATTAATTTATCCGTAATCAAAATTTAAGCTGGTCCATAAAAGACTTCATATCTTTGAATAGATTCAGTTTACATAATAAATTTTACTAAGCAGCCTGGACCTATACAAATTTCAATTAAAATCAATCCACAGTCAACGGTCCTATTTGACAGTAAACTTAGAAATTAGTTCAAATTCTGTCCATCCCCATCTCCTACCTCTGAGACTGGTCTTGCCAGATGAATTGGAGGGAACAGGGGCATGCACTGCACAGACCCCTGCTCAGTATTCCCTCCCAGCGGTGGCATCCTTGGACATCAAGCCTTGCTGGAGGACAATACAGGCTCAAAACACCGAACCAAAAAAAAAAACCCCTCAGTAAAATCCTGTGATCACGCTGTTTCTAAATCCTTCTCTTTTTTTTCCTCAAAGTCTTTGAAAATGCTACCAGCAATTTCAGTGGTCAGACCTTAGACTGTGACTGCCAGTGTTTCACCACCTACTAAACAATCAATGTTCGACTTGATCTCTTCTTGTTTGCCGCTATTGTGTTGGTACAACAAATGAAATCTTACAACAATGATCTACGTATTGATTGCTGTACTGTTTTAATTATTTACTAAGATTCCTGTGGTGTGACCAATTGTGTGCAAAGTTTTGATCCATCACCCTAAGCTGATCTTAACAACAAGCGGCTGGGCATAAACAAAGCGGAAATCAACCTTGTAGGAAGTCTTGCTATTTATGGGTTTATTATGGATTTCTTTATTTTTCATGCCTCACTGAATTTAGATCATGGTGGCCAAATGCCTCTTAGCAACTTTTGATTATATTATGTAACAATTTGTGTTTTTAAAAATTCTTCAAGATGAAAAACCAATTTTTTAACATTTGAAAGTTTTAAAACTGCTCATGCCTACAACTGCATTAAGTCTTTTGTTGTGAGAGCTTTTGGTCATTATCTGTAGACTTGATCGCTGATGTATGATGCTAATGTTATAATTTTATGGTGGTAACTGGAGAAGCTATTAAGCAACCAACCAAAAAAATGTTTTCTACAATCCCTTTACCACCAACTTAATAAAAAAATATTAATAAAAAATAAATATAAATAATAAATAATAATAATAATAATAATTACAGCATGGCATATGCTGCCTTTAGTAGGAAAGGCACCATTTGGAGTGAACATGCCTGAGATCACAGCTATTCTTTCAATGGCTATTAATATATATCCACTGACCAAAAGTGTGAAAATCATTGATCTTCTATTTCCTATAATATGGATAGTTAACCCCAGCATTGAACCTAATTAAAGGGGTTTACCCCGCATGGAGAGATCAAACGTACTCTCTTTGAATAATTAATGATATCAAATAATTGCCAAATAATACGCTTATAGATGATAGAAAGAGGTGTGCTTGGAAAGTCATATTCACAAGAAATACATTAAACTTAAAACTGGTGAGATTTCATCCTGTTAAATTTGGTGATATTTCTGTGTCTCACAAAATAAAGAAAATAGACTGTTTGTCTTGTACATCTTTAAAAAATGATGCTAACGCCAACCCCTTATTGTGAAGAAGATAATTGGGACAGTCACTAGATTTCTTGAAATAAAAACACGTCTCCAGGTGTAACCTTACCTTTCTCTTTTGTGGAATCTGTGGCTGCAAGGTGATAGTCTTGGCTATACTGTTTATTGCATTACTATCCAAAGTCTGTTTGTTATGTACAAGGTTATGATGACTGATATGGTTACTATTATGACTATGAGAGGCTGCTGTGGAGACATTGTCAACTTTGTGGTTATCATTTTCTGCCGCAGCATCCACTTTTTCAGTGATCTCTACACGAATGTCTTTGCCTGTATTCTCTGTTATTTTATTTGTTGACTTTGTATTGGCATGTGCCTTCTTGTCAGCATCCCTGGAAAAGAAAGAAGTAGTTAACACGTTAAGTCCATCCATTCATGCAACTCCCATAGATTGACTGCACAGAGAAAGCTAAATTAAATATAAGAGTGCATAGCCCCCCCCCCACCAACTCACCCCAAAAAGGGGGGGGGGGGGAGGAGGCAGAGAACAGTTTGCCTAAGTTGCTTTGGACCTCTACTGCTGAAATTCATTGCAAATTTTTGTACATAAAAAAAACATACTGATATGTTTAATCATGCACTCATATTTTAAATGTTCTTAGAGTTAAGGCATAAATGTGGTACCTTGGTCCCGAAGATATTTTATAATTAGTGCATATTAAATAAATCATACAATCATTCATTTGAAAATAAACTAAATAGAAACTAGAACAATTGCATAAATATTCTAATAATCAGATAAATTCTCTCTCTCTCTCTCTCTCTCTCTCTCTACTGCAAAAATTTACAAAACGAATGTCCTTTTTTATTCATAGGAAAGAACATGTATTTGGCAATTATGAAAGAGATGTAGCTGCTAAAGATATGCAACATTGCACAATCACTTATATCCTCCTCTCTAATTCTAATCAAACTTATAAATGTACGCAACATATTGATTACCTGAAACTTCCTGGGGATAATAGGTTTAATGAAATTGCCTATCTTTAAAGTGAAAGCTGAATTATTACATTTTACAAAAGCCCACCAAGCTCTTTGATCTCAAAGAGCATTGAAATAAAATATAGCACATCAGCAGCATGTGAGGAATAGGTCAATCTAACTCTGTTATATTTATCCATTACAGACAAATATATGTGAAGGTACTGATATTTACTGGCACAGCACCATTGATTGTGACATCTCTAAACAAAACACATTTATCCTTGGGCTGGTAGACAATTCCACAATTCAATTCTAAAATCTAGTTCTTATTCAAAATCTAAGCAGACTGAAAGAGTGAATACAGATTTGCACCCATAGAGATATAATTCATGTAACTTCAGTTAAATTGCGTCACTAAACTTGCACATCATTTTTCTCATCATAATGCTCACCTTAGGCAGCGTTTTCCCTCCATAAGATTTAATAATTTCTCCACAGAACAAGAGCAGCTCTCTTAAATACTAAACAAAAAACCTCTGAATTTGATCCACTTCGTTATCTGACTTCACATTTTCAATTGGTTTTGGAGCTCATGACAGTGCATAAATTCCTGCCAATCCTCCTTTATGCAGTTGAAATAAATGAAGTAGTTAACAAGGTAAGACTTTCAATTTCAGATAAGCCAGCTTAACTTTTCGTTCTTCACCAAGGCGTGGTACCTCCCTGCCAATTCTTCCAAAACTTACAACCTACAAACACAGCTCCTCAAACAGTGACGAATGAAAACACATCACTGAGATTCATATAAAATAATATACTTTTGAATCCCTGTGGGCTGAAATATAATTCAAATGGTAGTCCATCAGAGAACTTCTGAAGGTAAGATAAAGATAAATCGCCATTTGAATGGACAGGAGTCTGATATATCTTCCTACGAGCTTTATAACCCACCTCAAAACTAAACTGATAAGGTGTCTGCCATAAATATGAAGTGGTTATAAACACTGGTGTCAAACTCAAGGCATTTTAAAACCCAGGCACTTGATATTTGTTTTATGCAGAACTTCCCATTCTTAGCCATTAGTAGTTTTACACTCACTAAAGCATTTAAATTTGGCTCAAGTTATACTGCCACATGCTTTTCTTGCAATTGGCACTAACAAGAATACGGAAGATTAGCAAAAGGTTCTCAGATACAATCAATTTAAATGAATTAGTCTTTTTCCACTTTGTATGCCAGTTCTAATTTAAGGCCATGGCATACTTACATAAGTTAACTGTAGAACATACTTTCTGACTGTTGCTCTTGAAGAAATAATATCCTCAGACTGTGTGTAAATCTTCCAACTGAACATTTAGACTTTGATATACACTTTTTAAATAAACAAATGGGACAAATTACTAGAACATTTTCGAGGCAGGGGGTAAAAGTGAAATTTGCTGTAAGTTAAGCTCATAAGGCACAGAGGTTTATGGGCTTGACTTGGAATGAAGACAGTGGGCCATAACTTGCCAATGGAACCCAGATGAGGTCACCTTGTTGGAAATGAAAGGTGCCAATTAACACATTAGTTGGGAGTTTTCGTAAAGAATACAGATTAACTTGTAAAAAGAACCCTTGCATGCATATTGCACACTCATAAATTCACTGACACTCACTTTGAAAAAAAAACTTAATGCTGAGTACATTTAAGTATTACCTTAACTCCTTAAAATAAGGATGTTTGAGTGCTTGCTTAGCCGATATCCTTTCATCTGGATCATAGGCACACATCTTGTAAATCAGATCTATGGCTTGTTGAGATGCATGAGGAACCAACTTCTCGACTCCACTTCCCTTCTTGGTGGGAAAGTTGAAATTCATTCCTCTTGTTTTGCTGAAACAATTTTAAATTCAAATGAAATGAATTGTAACAAAATCACTTGATGCTCAATTTTTTATGACTGTTTTATTTCCAAGTTTTTTTTCTATTCCATTATTTTTACATCAACAATATGGTTCAAATGAACCAAATCAAATGAAATTTAATATTATACTGGTTTGTTGTTAAGGATAATTGATTTCAAAATTAAAAATTGATTATTTTTTAACAACACAATATCAATTTGGTAAAATGTGTGTGTGTGTGTGTGTGTGTGTGTGTGTGTGTGTGTGTGGCTTACTCAGATATTGTGCAATCATAAATCCATATATGTTATAAGAGGCAGTTTTATAAGGAAAATACTCTTCTCAGAAAATGTATTAGGGTTGTAAATGATATATTACATTGAAAAGCATGCTGTTCTGGAAATGTGAAAAAATCAATCTAATTTTGAAATATGTCCATCTCTGTTGATAAATATTCATAACAATCAACTTACGAAACACTTTAAAATCAGTCAATAATATCTGATCTGGACATTTGGTAAACAATATCTGTCACCGACCATTAATCTTTCAATAGGCTTTTGTGTACTGAGCCATGAAGAAGTGTGACTTAGCACAGAAACAAGTTTAATTGCTTTTAAAAACAGAGCAAAATATGATTTATAGATAATAAACATCTGACACATTATTTCTTTATTATATTTGAGCATGCTAGGGCAAGAATATAACATTAAGTAACATAATCAATAGGATTTATAGTTTTGTTCAATAAATAAGCACTAATCTTAGAGGTGGACTGCCCCATTTATTACTGTCATATTATCTCATGACCCCCCAAAAAACCCAGCTATAATACAATAAAAAAAGTATATCAAATAAAATAATAATAAATAAATACAATAAAAGTAGTTCTTTGGTGCAAGTAATGCTTATCAAGGAAATACGTCAGTACCTCCTTGTGCTGGTATATAATGGATCAATATTTCAAAGACAAGACTAAATGTCAATATGACCTCTGTGGCTCTGAGTCAAAGCTCTGTTATGTCATAAAGCATGGGCTTTCTTTTGGGTCCAATATGCATCCATTATAAAGGTCACGTGAAAATCAATCTTATATTCATAATTAATAGTTTATGTCCGATCTTGTCCAGATTGGACTCCTGAAGTACCTGTGCACTTTCAAAACAGTTATAATAAAGCTCAAATGTACTAGTAAGTGATTACTTTGAGGTTAGTTTAAATGCATAAATAAACTTTGTCTTTATTTTAAAAATCTTCCAACTTTTTAACATTAGCCTGTGGTGTTGCATTCCAAACAATGTCTTGTTACATCACTTCAACATAAATAAACCAAAAGAGGCAGTCTTTTATTTCCCATTGAAATATTTCTACCATTTAAGGTAATCTGTGCTTTACACCCATTACATCGTTTATCACATGTTCATCAATATCCTATTCAAACAGTGAAAATGCAATTTATGAGCAGGTTTCTAAAGAGGTGTAACAATTGTGTATTTTGTTCAGAAGCCGACTGCTGAGAGGTGAAAAAATGTTTAATTGTTCATTGTTCACACTAAAATCATGTACATTGTCAGTCTAATATCCCTGCTCAAAAAGTGGATATATAAGTCAAAAACGGGCAATGCATTTATATGATCATTAGGTTTAAGGCAAGCTAAAACAAAGTGGCTTTCAAAACTTATTATCATATCCTATTTTCTTGTCAGCAAGTTGTTATGGGTGCCAGAAAAATCTCTTTCCTTCAAAACTATCAATCCAATAGCTACACTTCCAAAACAACAACATTTATTTATATGGCAAAAAAATAAAACCAAAGTCTGTGTACTTACTTTCTCAGTTTGTTGAGAATGCTTGGGTCTGGAGTCCCTAAAACATCATGGATTTTGGCAATCTGGTCGACCTCATTGGAACCAGGAAACAATGGATGCAGACTAGTAAAAGGAAAACACACCTCATTATTCACAGCAAGCAGTCATTCTCAAAAAAAAAACTTTTTTAATTGAAAATTAAACATGGCAATATGCAACAGGTTGTATAGCAACAACATCTAGATAACAGCTATAAGCATTGACATAACTAAAGGAATAAAACGATGCCATAACCTCAACTAAACTGATTTCCTCCATTCCACCTCTTTTTAAGTACATTTTTATGAATTCCAGCAACAACTTTCTCAAAAAATAAATGGCAAATGAAAAAAATAAAACTGTAAAGGTACATTTATGTCTGTTTAACTTACCTGACAATCTCAAAGAATACACAGCCCACACTCCAGATATCCATCTTGTAAGAATAATACCCATCTGTAAGAAGACATTCTGGAGCACGGTACCTTAAATTTAAAAAAAATTGCTCTAAATGTTTTTTTTTTTAATTTGCATGTGCTTGAAGAAAGAAAAGAAAGTCTCACAAATCTACAGTTTAACACAACAGCTGCTTGTGTCACTAAAACTCAAACTTGGGGTATAGGATGCAAAATACCAGAGCAAAATACTCCATAATCATATGGGAGATAAAGTATACTTTACGACAGGGGATAGAGCATTTCTTTTCCTACTTTTCTCTAGATGTCAATGGCGTAATATCATTAGATTTCTCTTACTCTGATTAATTATGAAATATATCATCTCATCCTGCCCTTATAAACGACCAAGCATGATCTTGGATTTTATTTTTCTTCATTTAACATTTCATTGTTTTAAATGGGGCATATTTCAGTCATACAGTGGTAAAAAATAACAAAACCAGCTCTGATATCATTCAAAAAGTACTCACTACATGTATGCCTTAAGGATAAATGTATCACTCACTTTAAAATACAAGAAAATATTATGTGCACATCTGGTTAAATGAATTACAACAATGTGCAAATGAATAAAAAATTTAGACATTCTTTCACATGAACATCTCAACAGTCGGTCAGAGACTTACCATCGTGTAGAAATATATTCTGTATATGGCTGTTTTGAATATATGCTTCTACATGAACCAAAGTCAGCCAATTTTAAAACATCATCCTGAAAAAAGAATTTTTTAACAAATTAGTCTGAACTAAACAAGTTCAAAATTATGTTTTAAATCTTTTAATCACAACTCATAAAGCCCTTTACTTTAAGAATTTACCTTTATAAGAATGTTTTCTGGTTTAACATCTCTGTGAAATATTCCATTCCTAGAAAAAGAAAGAAATAGAAAAAATATATAATCATAATGTACATTCAAGTTTCAACAAAAAATCAATATCAATATCAGTAACTGAATTGGTAAATGTTAGTTTAAACAAGACCAGAATTAAGTAAATATTAAAGCAAAAATAAAAAGGAAACACATTGTAATAAAGCATCAGTGAAATTTGCCTGTTTCAGTGTTAATTTAGATAATTACGTATCCCTCAGAATCATTAAATGCAGAAAAATGTTCACCTATCACTTTTAGATAGAACATTACAGATCTCAAGCAGACCTCTTGCAAACAATTAAAAGGAGCAAATAAAACATTGTTAGTTCTTCAAACCATATACAGTTTCAATGGTTAAATTAAGTTCACACTTGATAATATGCCACTTCTTTCAAACAGTGTTGATGTGTTCATTCAGAAAGATACAGAATATTGTAAATAATACTAAGTAAACAAATAAAAAATGGAAAGAAATATTACTGACAAGAATAATGTAATCAAAAGTCTAAGGAGGAGGAGGAAGAAAGCTCTCATTTGTTAGAGAGATGATGAATATCAAATGGGGATAAGAATGAAAAGAAATGGGTACAGAGAAAGATGTCTCCAGATATTTTCATAATATAACAAAATAACAAAATCATTCAATTTGAATATGAAATCAAGTGAATTCTAGAGCAGTCAAACTGAACAGGGTTTTTAAAGAACAGAATAATAATCTTGTTTTAGCATAATTTTATTTCTGAAGTGAAATATTATGAAAAGGAGCCAAGAAGCTAGACTGCATCAATTCTTGTCATCCAGCTTCGTCTCTCTTTTTTTTCTTTCTATTTTTCAATTCTTTTCTTTTTTAAAATGAAACATTTTATCATGCTGCAGCATAATGGACTAACATTGGGAGCACAGCTTACCTATGTAAGTGCTCTATAGATTTACATAATTGATACATATAAGGTTTGATGGTGGACTCCAGCAAGTGATGACGTTTTCCTAAAATGAAAAAGGTTAGGGTAATATGTAAGATTTGGTGCTACAAGATAATGAAAAACACCCTAGTGCAAGACACACACATCCTTTTGTCAGCATGATAAATCTATATTTCATTATTTTATTTTGCTTTCATCAAAGTTATTATTCAAGATGTTGTAACTGTAGGAAATTTCCCCGATTGCATTTATTTCTTTATCAACCAATATTAACAGATACCAGACCTCTTCCTCAAGTTCATACACCAAAAATCTATAATTTAGAGCAGAAAATCAATAATACCCACCGGTCAAAATCCTTATTTTTTTCGACAAGATAATAACTTGATTTACAGAAGAAGTCATTTGATCATGCAAAAGAAATAGTGAAAACATTTTATCATGCTGGTCAAAAGGAAAATTCTGCATGCAACAGATGTGAACAGTGCCAGGAAACACAATTGTGACAGTTGAACTCCACAACCCGAACACAATGCATTCACATCCCACATGGAAAGGGGGGGGGGGTTTCTCCACCATATGTTCTTACCTATGCATAAATTCTATGGATTTGAGTAATTGATACATGAAGAGTTTGACCTTTTGAGTAGGGAGATACTGTCTTTTGCCTGAAAAATGACAACTGGTTATACAATGCTTGTGCACCATATTACCATTTTTGCACAGAAACATATATGTTAAAGATATACATTATACATCAAATTAAACTAAAAATACCCAAAAATTAATTGACTTTAAAAAAAAGAGAAAAACAAGATGCACAATTAAATAAATAAATTATATTTTTTAATAAAAAAAGGAACAAACATCAATACATGCAAGAACATCAGGAAACAACAGGTAGGAAAAAAACCCACTCAAAAATTACTTTTAGGGCGACATTTAAAATGAAGTCTCAATAAATTATATCAGTAACAAGTTTAAAGTAATTAGTTTCCATCTTTAGCTGCCAACTACTCTCTGAACTGGTAAGGTTCAATCTAACATTTTAACTCCAACCAGTAAGTTTAAGTGATTGCTTGAGTTTTCTTAGCAACTGGTAACTGATGACTATTACGACGCATTATCACAACTTTAATCCAATTTATATCCCGTGTCAGAATAAACTGGTCTGCTGCACTGCTCTTGAGCAAAATCAGTAGATTTTCCTTATTTGTTGAACACTTCAATTCTGTCATAAATGTACATCTGGCAGATTGAACATCAAAATCATTCAAATCCAGTAATACAATATTTTGCTGTATGATGATAAATGTAAGAGGAGTTTATTTTCTTCTAAGGATTTATAAATGGAAACAGTTATTTTTTAAGTCAACCAAGTAAGAATTTAAGACAATCTTATACGAGTACATAGCTTTTACTTTAAAAAACTGATATTAAAACTTTAAAGAAAGGAAGAAAACTATATCAAAAAAATTATAGAAAAATATATTTCACCTTTTTCACGGCCTCAAAATCTGTTTTACTACAATTTGATACCAAATACATCATTTACTTGTCTTATTCTCTACTTTAAAGGGACAGTTGGTTAAATCACTTGTCCATATTAAGAAATCATATTGAAAGTTGTTGGTTAAAAAATCTCTTTATAAATTTTATAAATTCCAAGGTTAACAAAGTCATTCATTTATCTCAATTTGATGAAGTACCATCCTACATAACAGCAGGCATTTCTGAAAAGTTGGCTTGGTGAAAAAAAAAAAAACCTTCACAAAAGACAACAAACGTGTGGTTATCCCTTCATGTTTAAATATTTACACAATTTATAAGATTAGGGAGGAAAATGTATCAATGTCTGTGTACACAATAATCTCATAACCCTATGCGACTGTAAACATGGTAATCAAGTTGAAACTTAATTGAACAACAAACTTGGACTGAAGGCACCGTCACTTGCTCTAAGTAAATGCCTTGAGTGTTGACAAGCTTAAAATCAAATAAAAGTACTCAATATGGAAGAAAGTCTGCCAATGTGCCATGCTATCAAGCCTCTGGCAATACATAAATGGTTTGAATTCCCTAATTAGATCTCGTATGAAGTGCAAACAGAAATAACTTTCAAATATTGACTCAATCAAACTTACTCTCTTGGTGCTTTCATACTCTCAGTCTCAAACATGATGAACGTTTAGTTAGAAACAGAATCCGAAGCATCAGCATTTCATGTAATTATGATTTTTTAATTCTTATTTTAATCTTGATCACTTACTTGGTCATCATGGATTACTACAAACACAGCTTACTTGCTGTTCAACTACCCAAGTGAGAACGAAACCAAGAGTCTGACATGAATGCTACTGCAGTGTTATGACTGTTATGTTTTCTTACCAAATGTTATGACAATAACATACACACACTTTGCCCAAAGGTGGCAGTTTTACCCCCCAGAAAGAAAAGTGTAAAGACCTTTCAGAAAAATATGAAAATAAAACTTAATACCATCACTACCGTATTTTTCCTTCTGTATATGGGTCATTTAAGTCAAAAACACATTTACTTAACTTAATATGAAATAAAAATAACACCAAAGAAGACAACATGAGTATAAGAGTTTGCAGTCCCATTGCATCTATAGATTTTATAATTCAAATAATAATATTCCACTGGTTTTATCAATACAGTATTTAAAGAGTCTTTCACTATTTAAAACAAATGCATACCTCTTATTAGCTCATATATATTCATATCCATGAGTTCACAAATAAGCACCAAGACCCCAGTCTTCTTGTCACTGGCAAAGAGAAAAGAAAATATAAAAATTACCATCAACATTTAAATATGTAAAAAAATCAAATGCAGTTTATACAATCCAAACCTGTATGTATATGTGAAGGCACACACAATGAACACTACTTAGACGAGTAAAAATTTACATCAGTTTAGTTTCCATTTTAGAAATATTTGAATTTACCTTAATCCTTAGTCTTAAAAAAAAAAACAATCACACATGTTGTTGATTCAACTGTCAACATCACTTGAACTGTTGTGTTGTTCTGAGTGAGATTTACTTTTTTATAATGTAAAGTTACCTCATTTACTACTTAAAACACGTAATTAACTCAATTGCAGTAGAAAATCACAATTTAAAAAAAAAACTAACGTGTTTGCATGTTTAAATTTTCAGTATCCGAATCTTATAAATTACTGCACTACATAGTTGGGAGTGTTCTGGCTGAGTATTGTCAGGGTCCAAAGTTACACACACAGGGCAGGTCAAATTACTGTACCTGATACCTATACTAGTGGTGCCCGTGAAATTTCTCCAAAAGAACCACCAAAAAGGTTACAGACAACATTAATGAAACTGTATGTAGGTTATACTAATCAGGAAAAAAAGATAGGAAGGTAGACTGGGTTCCCATCCCTAGAACGATCTAACAGGATCGGTCCATCTCCACGGTGTTTCCTGCTAAATTGCTTTCAGCTTAGGTGGCTTAGATGTCTGGCATTCCTGCTAAAGCTGCTAAACGATAGTTAATTACCCCCTATCAGCTTCAGTAGGCATGATAGACATCTAAGCCACTTAAGTTAATTGCAATTAAGCGAGAATCCCCTTGGAGATAGTTTGATCTAAAGTTAGTACGATAGTCTCTGGGAATGGTCTCTAAGACTGGGTTCCCATACTCAGATCGATCCAACTGGATCGACCTAACTCCCTGGGGGTTCACACTAAATTGCTATCAGCTCAAGAGGCTTAAATGTCTGTTGCATTAAATGCCTATTGTATCAGCCAGGGGTAAAGAAAATTACCCCTTACAGCTTTACTAGGCGTGACAGACGTTAAAGCTGGTTAGTTTGATAGCAAATTAGTGAGACTCCCCAGGGAGATAAATCGATCCAAATATCTGCGGGAATGGTCCCTAAGAGAGGGGAAGGTATCAATCTGCAAAACTTGAAGGAATGGTATCAAGTACAAGTTACTGCACTTTGAATACTAACATCACAAAAATGAAGAAATCTGAACAGAATATTAGCAGCCCAGGGTAATGAACCTACATCCATAAATACAAATTACTAATGTGACCATGAGTAAAATATGATCTTTCCATCATGCAAAGTGTTACTCCAATGAACCTTGTTAGTTACTATTTGTTTTCTAATCTGTCTGTGAACATATATATACAAAGTGCCAACACAGAATGCTAAGGATCAATTATTAAACAATTAAGAACTAACAGCCCACTTTCTCCACCTCAAATATTTGATAGAAGTTAGATTAATGAGTCATAGAAACAGCCAAATACAAATGGTTAAAATCAATATTTTATGTTCAAGTCAGTTGACAGTATATAAATACGTTCAGAGAATGACTCAAATATAAGATGTTTCAAAGCGCTCCAAAAACCAATCACTTGAATAGGGTTTCTTAACTGACATCTGGTTTGCCGACTACGGAAAATACCACAATCACTACATCACATTAAAAAACCTGATAATATTTTCCAATGTATGTTCAAATCCAATTTCCAACATTTTATTCAACACCCAATGTAGAAAAATAAAATAATGTTAAAATGTCACCATTTTTTAATACTTGAACATATTTAAGCTCTGTTCAAAATTCCACATTCTGTAAAAAAGTTCTAGATTCAATTAAAAAAAATTAATATGCACAGTACTCACTATAGAATCTCATGTAGGTTGATAACATTGGGATGTGGATTCAACCTTCTCAAGGCCTGGATCTCACGCAAGTTGTTCACCTGCTCCATACTAAAATTGAAAATTAAAATCTGATAAGATGCTTAACAATACCCCTCTCTGAGTTGTAAGGAAAGAAAGGTCACAACTAAGCAACTTAAACTATTACTTCTACAAATATCTATCATGATAAAAGACAGAGAATATATATTAGAACAAGAGATGGTAAATTAATAGCATATATTATTTGTAAGCAGTATCAAATTTCTAAAACACACAAAAAAGGCAAACAATTAAAAAAATTATTCAAAAAAGCACCACACCTGTCATAATGTTGCTTCATTTTCTTGCATGCCCAGTAAGAACCTTCTTTTATGTGTTGGCATTTCAGCACCTCTGAAAAGGTCCCTTCCCCTTTCTTACCGAGGACCCGATACTCTGAAATAATAAATCAGGTTAATAGTTCCACAAGACATGCATTTAAGAAAAATAATGGTTGCCTTTAACCATGAAATAAATCCATTATTTTCCTACTGGGAGGCCTGCACATTGAACATGTCATAGGCTGAATATTAATAACAGTATTATCAAACACCTTACCAAACAATTAGTACTCAGTGCATTTTATATGACATGATAGATCAAGGATACAGTCTTGGTTTTTTTTTTTTTTTTTTTTTTTTTTTCAATATAACTTCCATGATAACACACAAAGCCCTGATATAATTACTCTACCTCTTTGGTTAGATTCCAACATTTTTTCATCACTCTGGGGTGATAAGGATTTATTCATCCGACATTATAGAAGCCAAGGTATGTTGTGCATACCATGGGATAATTTGGATAAAAAGAAGCACTACATAAACCTGTGAGATCAACTCAATTGAAACTTTTCTTCCCATATCTCTGTTGATACCAGCATATGGCCTTAATTTACAGATACCAGAAAATTTAGATATGGTCAAATTTGAAGAAGCTATCTTTAAACATAACTTCACTTGGTGGTACGCCCTTTTGTAGCTATTTTTCAATATGACAGTGATTCATCCTTTGACATCATCAGATATTCATTAAAACCATCACTGGCATCACATTTTCAACAGTTTCAATACTCCACAACTTTTTTTCTTACAAATTTTTGTTAGTTTTCTGTAAATGAATCTGTTAGTCTGCTTTTCTGAAAGCACTCACAGCAACATATTCTAGTCTGTAAGGATAGGCATATCCATTGACATGTATACTGTTTTATTTTTTGAGGTAAAAAAAGATTTCTTCTCACTCTTAAACTTTTCTCTCTCTTTCAAAAGTTTTTACAAGGTCTTCCCAACTTTCATATTCAGTTAAGGACCAAAGCCAGCCATGCCCTTTAGCTAAGCCATATTTCTGGAGGTACATGTAGGGGAGGGAGGCACATGTCACTAAAATGCATCACTCATTTTGGCATTTTAGAAATATGCGGTCATAGCAAATAGTACTGTCAAAGATCAAAATTTATAATTGAGTTTAATCAAAATTATATTTTTTTCCTTTACAAATGTCACCTTAAATGTCAAAATTGTCATTAGAATAACTCAGTCTATTTTTAAACTTATATAGGTTGTGAGAAGTGTGGGCATTTCTGTTGCACTGAGGTGATGGTCTTGGTTTGGGGGTCATTGCTGTCACACGAAATACTTTTTACCATACCCCTCTGCAAACATGTCTGAGATAATATTAGCATAAAACGTTGGGAAGTGGATCATTTTACGTACATCTTTTCATATTTATTCTAGCTGCTTTTTGCACGGTGAGTCACTGTAGTTTTAAAAACGTTACAACCCATAGGTCTACCAATACATTCACTGCAACCATTTTAAATTAAGCGGCGCAGTCTATTCCAAATCCCTTGAGATATTACTAGTAATAACTTAAGAAGCATCATTTAATGCTCCATTACATACTCCCTCCAACAGCGTAACTTTTCTGACACACGGGAGTCGTCCTTAATTGGCCTAATGAATGCTAAATGCACCTCTGTTGCTATCATTGATCTGGGAATATTGTAATCTGATAATCGATCTTGAACCCGATAAACTTGGTTTAACTTAGAGACCTCAGTCGAAAGTCAAATATCCCCTGATTCTCAAATGCATACTTACTCTGCATTACAAGGTTCATCTGCCCAGCTTTAAAGTGACCATTCTAGGAACCCCCTGACATCTAAGTAACGCCCACAAGAGGACATACACTGAAGATTTTCAGAGGTATCCTGACGTTATCTGACGTTGTTTATCTCAAAGGATTATCACACATGGGGCCACGAACTACTTGCAGGAAGGGAAACCCGGATATCATAGCGCTTGCTCAAATTTCATAGCTGCTCATTTTGACAACAAATTATCAAATAGAAACGAATTTCCAATTTGATATGACATGGAGATGTAAAGTTGGACGTAATCTTGGTTTTATTTTTATTTTTACATATTTTACATGAGGCCTACTTTAATGCGTACGATGTTTAGTACAATGTAGGACGTGCGCTGCGGTAAAGCCTCAATGGGGACAATAAGTTACCATAGTGATTGTACACAAAGAGCGGGTGGTGAGAAGTAAAGTGATTCTGCATGGTACATTTTAGTTTGTTTGATTAAGTAGACCGTGCGGAAGACAAACTCGGTGTTGTTTGTGCGGTTTTTGTATCATTTGCGCCGTAAGTACGAAACCCTTTTGTGATAACGATAAATGAGACGTGGAACTATAAGTTACGCTTTGCTTGAATAAAGACCCAGGGTTTTATTACACAAATCTCCCAAGCAACTGTTTATGGAACTCAAAGAACCGAAAGTATTACCAAAGAACTGTGCTTTATTTATCCCCTAGATCAATTAAAATGACAACTATAGCAAATTGATTAATTTAATTTAAAAATTTGGAGAAGGCTCACTAGAAAGAAATTAGGCCCTATAGACCCTGGACAATAGGCCCTTTGGGTTTTCATCAGAAAAAAAGCCTAATGCCAATTAACCCCTTTGCACATTCTAAACGGGACTCATTTGATTCTAACTTAGTGCTTTTAATGTCTTTTCATTCTTCATAAAGTAAAACATATTAAATGGCGTTACTTTTGCGCGATTCTATGCCATAGGCCTAGGCCCAATCCCCAGGAATTGTTTGAAGATTTAAAGGCAATTTAAATGCTTATGCCGTAAGTGTTGATATTTTAAGTGATTTTATAATCCACGCCCCAAACAGTTCACTAGAATACACCAGTGTTAAATATCGATAAACCATACATAAAGAGTACTAACAATAAAACAAAAAAAGTAGTAGGCCCTAGACCTAGTGTAAAGATTCAAAATTCGTTTACTGCTTACGTCTAGAAAATATATAGAGAGTGACCTATAATTAATTTCGTAAAAAAAAAAAACATCATTTAGACACCTTTTAAGCATTCTAAAATATCACACCGTTAAATGGTCTAGAATAAGTGGCACTGCCTTGTAGGTCAACCATTTGAACAAGAAGGGGGGGGGCAGGGGGCATACACATTGCCAAACCCCTTAAACTTGTAATAGCAATCTTCACAAAATAATCAAAGAAACAAAAGTGTTGTTTTCTAAATACAACCGTAAACAGAAGAGGTGGTATCCGGAAAAACGCTCCCTGTCATCCTTATTTTTTAGAGTGAGATTCCGCAAAGTGATACATAGGCCTACTCATTGGAAAAAGCATCATTTGTAGCCTACTTACGGTTTTCATTCAACAAACTTTCCACAGCAAAATCACTGCGCTGGTTTCCCCGACCAAGCGATGTCATAATGCTTAAATTGTCCGATGTTGGTCTGTTGTTTCCCGGTATAGTGTTGTTAAACAGCAACATTCTGACCATGCAAAGATGGTCGGCATTTCCAGTTCTCTAATTCGCTGTTATGTGATTTATCCGTTGATTGCAACTCTTGAAAGCATCGCCATGCCGTCGTCCGACTAAAACGCACGCAAACGGCCTACTGCCACAGTTTCTCTCTCTTTCTCTCGTATGCCTTAGCTCTAATTTGTTAATGATTTCCCAACGAAACTTGTGGGAATGCCATTGACTTCTAAGCTCTGTTTCTGCCGTCGCTGCGTATACATTACTAAACCTTAATGTAAATCCTCCCTGCTATGCAAACACTGCGAAGAACGGAAAGTAGATGAACATGACCTCACAAAATCTACCAGCGCAATGAAACAAAATGCTCAATGTTAAGTCGGCTAAGTTTGCATTTTGCAAGTACGCCTCTTATTTCTCCAAACACAGCAATCCTTTTCAAGTCTAGTATTTCTGTTTGTATTATATCTCTATCGATAATCACCTATTCAATGCACGGCAAGCGTTTCTATGGAAGATGGATTAAATAAGCATTAATCTAAGAAACCGAACATATGAGTTTTTTTTCTATAAAGGAGGGTTAATGGGTAGAATTATGACAAGAAAGGTAAGATGTATAGATGAGTAGAAAATGTCTTTGCAAGAGAAATTTAATTCGACTATCAAACTGAAACAATTTTGGGTTTACCGTTTAAACGACCCCGCGACTGACAGTTGCTGACTGACAGTAAACGATGACTGACAGTTCATTTATTGCCATACAAGCAAACATTCACCCTTATTGCCAAGGCTTAACACCTATGGGATTGGCAATTAAGTCAAACTAACCGAATTTGAGATATTGGCTTCTTTTTATAAGACGGCAGATATAACAAGCTTAAGTGCGTTAGTTGAGACCACATCTTGAAGCATTCACTCCGACATGCTTCAAATATAAACTTTCTATGACTCTCTCCATTTACCCCTACTTTGAAAGGGGTCATGCTACCCTCTCTTATGATATTCGAGAGATGGGTCAAAAGGAAAAACTTGAATTTAAACGGACTTGTGCCAAGTTTTCATGTATTTGCCCACCGTCAATGCATTGTAAAACTGGATAGCAAGGGCATAGGCTAATTCGCGTTCTGCTGTGAAATTTCAGTAATAAAGAGATAAAGCAGAAAGATAACTGCTCTTCAGTCCTTTCCATATCAATGTTAAGAAGGAATGTTGTGATAAACTTCTCCAGGTTCTTTTTCAAAATAATTTCTTATTATGTACTCATTCTAGAGGTTTGGGTGGAATTGTTAAATAACGACATCTGCTCTCTCTCTCTCCTCTCTTTTTTTATGTGAACAGAATTTGCAGTGAAACCGCTGTGATAGGAAAGGTAGCCCTAAGAATGGGTCCACGGTTTCATATGATTAGTACAGGTTATGTTTAGTATTGGGGTTAGTATATGGGACTAATGACACCTGTACAAAGTACTGTAATGGAGAACGGACCACAGTACCTTTTTTCGAAATGCATTTGATTGTGCCTTGGTGTTGGGTTTATATACATCACAGTAATTTTTTCATACATTCTTTTGAAATTTCAAGAAAATCTGTAATTTTTCACTTTAATTTGACTATAATATTATTATATTATTTGCCTATAATAGCGTTTCCGCGGGTTCAACATGTTGTTGGATTATGTTTACAACAATGCTAAAAATTGTCATAAAACAAACATTTTTTTTTCTTTTTTTTTCCACACACTTCAGAAAATCAGAGAGTACTCCATGGGAGATGGAACACAAAGTCAATCCAAGTTCATATTTTAACAGACAGCATTTTACATAACTTGTTGTTACTGATTCACACTTATAAATGATCTTTCTTCGAACTAAAAAAATCAAGAATGTTTCTTTTAGTTAAGTGGAAGCTAATACATCAACCAAGACAAAAAATTAAAAATCTGTAAAGTTATAAACAATTTCCTGAAGAGGAAAAACATTGTGCCATACATTAACAGATTCTAATGCATCCTTTAAATTCCTTTATGATACTTATTTTCATCCCATCCACACTCAGAATATTTTTGATACTTATTTCAGAAGCAGTAATTGTAAAAGCAAATGTGCACAATGTAGTCCAATCAGTCTGGCTAAAAAGAAGCAAAAAGAGGCATTGAAGCTAGCAGTAACTACAGTTATCTTTGTCATGTTTTTTGAATCCTTGATTATGCCCTGGTAGCATATTAAAAATCTAGGGAAATCTGAGGAAATGATGTAAAAATTGGACTTACATTAGCTGCGAAGAATTCAAAGTGGTGACATGAATATGCCACTTACTTATATTTGCATAGATTCTATCAGAATTAAAGTTACATATGAAGCAAATGTAGATTCCCGGTAACACATATCAATCACTTCTACTAGATTCTTATTAAGATGACATGCCAAAAGATAAATCAATTTTATCTCCCAGTCAGCCAAAAATACCCTGAAAACTGCACCTTATTCTAATTTCTGGTCAGAAGCTTGACCTATTTATCCATCCCTCCAGTTCATTAAAGTACACCAAATGATGTATTAATGTATGATGCATTACTGCTATGCAGGCAATAGCACCAATATTCATATGACTGGTGGAAACAACAGAAAACAGATATCTTCTGTTCAAATATTGGTTTTTTGGGAGTATGAGACCATACCTTTTGGCATTTCTTCAAGTTATGCTATTTAAAACTATGTGATGGCATTTGGGCAAGCTTGGTGGCCAAGATTTGACTTCATATGCATCTTTTAAGTGATTCTCTGTATTAATAAATGTCTCCAACAGCTACAGGTAATCTATTCAAACAGCCACCTCATTACCACTAATACAATAAGAATGTATTAGGAAGACTCGAAAGGAGAATCATGTTTGTTATTTTTAAAATAACAAACTGCCTTACAGTTGACAAAGACCACTCTAGGTTTCAGGTAGGAATTGTAGGATACTAAGTCATATTTTTTTCTTTGTAAAAAAACAATGATAGTTAATGTGTAACTACAGTTTACAACTGTTAAACCAAACTTTTTTTCCAAAAATATTCAACAAATGCCTTAAAAATGTAACAGACAATTCATCAAGTATTCCACTACAGAGCCAACTATATTCAACTTCTCACACAATTACACAAGCCTATAACAGAAACCAATTTAAGAAATATGATTTGCAGTATCCATCAATTATCAATTTAAGCAGTTTATTTGTTATTTATGAAATTGACAGTTGATTTTTTAAAAATCAAAAAAGTGTGACGACTTAAAACCCTTTAGTTCATCTCAGCCACAACTTGAGCCGTAGTGCATCAACTCCATTTAAATAATAGCGGAAGAGTCTTTTGTCACGTACAAAACCAAGGTTTTCGTATAGCCGTAGTGCAGCTTTATTGGTTATTTCTGTCTCTAAAACAACCTGCAAATTAAAACATAAGCAATAAATTTCTGCATGACAAACAGCTTTAAATCATGATATTCATGAAGACCACGAGTTGACCAACAAAAAAAAAAAACATGTCAACTCTGTCAATTACTATGCCATGCCCCCCCCCCCTTCCCTAAAATGGAAATAAAATTAAAATAAAAAGTCTATAGTAGATCACTTGCCATCAATAGCACATGCTTTAAATTAGCCTGCTGGTTGTTAACTGAAGTTCAACTCACCTCATCACAGTCATCTGCCATCATTGCATGGATTGCTTTGAGCACCAGATTTGAACCTACAACAGCAATGGAAGTTAAAGTAAAAAACAACCCAAAAACCAAATTTCTGCACTGACATCAACTATTTTGACCAATATCATGATGATAATTTTGTGAACAATCTATCTGGGTTTACACATTCAATTGTACTTATTTGCAATGGAATCCATTCCTTTGTACATAATATATTTTAGGTTTGTCTTTTCAGAAAAAATGTCATGACAGTTCAGTCAAAGTTTATAAGGTACACAACCTTTTCTTTAAAGGTAACACCATATCATACCTATTTTCTTCCTCCTATACTCCTGATCTACAGCTAACATTGCTATGTAACCTCTTCTAACCATCTTTTTATGCATGTCCAACTTGCACACAATGGCTCCAATGCACTTCCCTTCATCTAGTGCCTGCATAAGAAAAATTGTTTCAAAGTACTTACACAAATTACAGACTATAGAAAAAGTTCACTTAGCTGCTTACTGTTTAAACATAGTCCCTACAAGCTGATTAGTTACTAAAGGACCATTCCCATAGACACTGGCATAAGTGGATTGACCCAACTCTGCGAGGACTCCTGCTAAGTCCCATCAGCTTATTACGCCTTCTCCTGGCATTAAGTAGAATTTATATTGCATATGCCAGTGTTACAGTTATCTCAACCTCTACTTTTCATTACCCTCTACCAGGGCAACAGATAGATTTCTTGGATATCCACAGATATGTCTCTAGATAGATAGATGGTAATTTTGGTTCTAAGTCTTAGATCCAAAATTTCCCTAAGGTTTATTTTTTGACACCGAGGTATACCTTTTCTGCCAGTTCAGGGTCAATTGAACTACCACATGAATGATGTTACTCGAAACGTGATTTGATCTTTACAGCACAGCGACATGGTTGTTTTTTCTAAACACATTTATCCAACTCAAACACTCACCAAGAAACAAAGCTTTGGCCAGTTATGAATGAAGTATCTGTAAGTGTATATAGAATAAGGCTCTGATAAGTCTTTCGTTATTAGTCTCATAATGTCAGGCATCTGGAGCTCAGATTCATAAATAACATAGTGAATTCCTTCAATAACTTGATTGCCTGTATTGGCACTTTGGTGGGTAGGTAATCCCCCAATACTGAGTCTTTGGAGGTGTTGGGAAACGTCTGTGCACGAACATTGGATGCTGTGTTCCCCTGAGCAACTGTGACCTTCAGATTTGGATAGTTTCTCAACATCTGGAGAATCTTCTGTTCCTGCTCCACAACTGATGCAAGTATGTGGGCCCGTTGAAATATCACTTATATCTTCTGTGCCATTTCTGGCTGCTGGTTCTGAATGCAATGGCATATCTGAAGAGTGTTTTATATAGCCATTCAAACCTGAATTCTCTTTCGTTTTTCCAGGAAGATGACCGCTATATTCGGCCTCCTCCTTTGACAAAGTGCAATGTTTTTTTGTTGTTCCTAAAACTAAACTTCCTTCAGTAGGACTATCCATCTTCTATGCTGGTATAGGGAGTAACGTCTTGTCTTTGATTTTTCCTTGACCACCGTTAAGATTTTGTTTCTAAGAGTTGATCAAACTGGCTTCCTTTGAAATCTCTCCATGTCCACCATGTTGTTGGTCACGCATGCGCGATGTGTACATGTATTATTACGCAAAAATAAAAAAAGATTCGTCATAAAAGCATGTTAGTTTGTCTTGGTACATTTCAACATCAATTTGAAAACCATGATGTAAGGTTTTTAATGGCATCATTTCATATCCATTCGATACTTAATACTACAATAAGGAACTATTATTTCGAGACTGGGTCGTATCTTCCGGGTAGCTAACAGGTCGTCTTCCTTTATTATTTAAAGGCATAACGTGTTAGATAACTAGGACCGGTTAGCTTGCCTCTAATGTTATCACTGAATTTTCGTGAGTATTTGTAAATATTCATGTTTCCTTATTCATAGCCTTTTTATTATATGATAACAATACTTTCAATTTATCACATGAATCGTATACCAAGTAGCCATTTTAATTAAAATATTCAGACCCCATGCCCAACATCTAAAACTTGAGACACTCTGAGTCTGCATGTGTTATCCAGTATTTTGCCAGGCATATCTATTGTGGCATGACACAATTACATGCCCCCCTTCACAAACCCAAAACGCATCGAACATAAATCTTGTGGTTGGTATATGGTGTATTTCAATAGGTACAGCCAGGAGCAAAACAAGTTTTTTTTACTATATAATGTCTGATAATACGGTGAAGATATTCTACAAAAACACTACAATTGTTCCTTCTTATCTTTACAGGTATGTGTAAACACAATTTATTGTATAAATATGCCAATACAGAACAAAGAACAGAGGAAGAAATGTTGGGATTCAAGAGATCTCTACCACAACTGTTTAAATGAAAACAGTGATGGAAGTAAATGTGAAAATTTAAAAAAAGACTACATGGAAAATTGTCCAGGAGTGTGGGTAAGTAGAGTTTATAATATATAATAAAAAATAATATAATAAAAAAAATAATATATTTTTTATTTGGGGCATTCCATTTTTTACATTACAGTGCACTTTACAATTAAAATATAAAAATACTTAAGAATTAAAGCTTGACTAATTGCACGCTTACTCTAAAAGTTTAGAAACATTAATCTTATAAACTTTTACAAAGATCAGTTTTCAAAGAGTTTTTAAAACTGCATTGATTACTTTCAGCTCTAATATGAAAAGACAGTTTATTGAACAATTTTGGGGCACAAATGTCTCTATAAAATAAAACAGTAAAAGCTCCATCTCCATAAAATTTGTTATGTACATTATCTATTTTAGATTGGTTAATTGTAAAATTGTTTTAAAAAGAGTTTTTGGTTTCCCTTTGTTTCAAACTAGTGATGAACATCAAGAATATTCTTTCACTTATTTCTCCCCAAATCACAAATATGTTTCTATAAAGCAGTCCAGTTCTCATTGTGTATTACATTTTATTATTCTTTATAGAGAGAATACTTTGACAAGCAGAGGAAAAAGAAACTGGATGAAGCCAAAATAAAACTGGGAAAGGTTCATGAGAAAGATTTAAAGGATCCACGAATATCAAAGTCTTGACAGCGTTTTGAAAGAAACTGTTGAAAAAACTGTTAACCAAGATGCATTCTTTGAATTACGTGTCTCCCATGTGATTAGGTTAGACAAAGAGTGGTATTTCATATAAAGTTATTTATCAATTAAATGATTTGCAAACATCTGTTTTCAACTTTAAGAAGAGATTCTTTACACAGTGTGTGAACATGTGCTATGTAATTGCCTGATCACGGTGGACCTTAATAAAAAGTATATTAACTTGGATTTCAGTTCAGTTTTTTTTTTCTTTTTGAGCAGATAAATGTATTAGTGACGTGTGTAAATAAACTTTTTCTCATCCATTCTATCTTGACTGCTTGACTTGCTGATATTGTGAAAAAGGATTATTCTGTTGCAATTTTGTACTTCTGCTCATAATTCATAATGAAAAATATGTCTTTTGAACAAAATGTTGGGTGCAATTTGTTATGCTTGTAATAATTCAACAAATCCTTGCCTTGACTTTGGTTATAAAATGACCAGGTAGTGAGTGATAAATGGATTTGATAGTAATTGATATTTTAATATGTTTGACTCTTCAAATTCGGAATTAATTGCCTTGTATCATTTATGTGAATTGCCAGTCTGTGATGCTTGGCAATAAAGACTGAGATGAACCAACAGTCCTCCTGTTTGATAATCCTGTTCTTGTCTAATAATTAAAGTAATAAGTTCATTTAGGCAAAAAAAAAAAATGGATTTTCCTGGGGTAGAAACAATTTTCCCATACTAACCAATGGCTAATGAATCCGTTTCAACTTCAAACTTACTCCCTGCTTTTTTTTTTGGTCATAATCTCTTAAGAGATAACAGAAGGATGAGAAGGTTGCCATCTATGGAGTTCACGTGGTTCGATGGCAAGCACAGATTCCAGAATAATTGTGATAACAGCCGTCTTTGTGGTAAAATACAATTGATTATATTTCTGTGGGTAGTTTACAAGGTATTCATTGTAAAGTTTGGATCTCATATGAAGAGTTCTCATCCCTTTAATTATTTGAATTAAATTTTTTCCAGATGGTTACAGAGTTATGGAGAGAGTAATAAAGAGGGAAAATAGGTTGGGTTGAGAAAAATACCGTTTACCTCAAGAAAAAAGTTTTTTAAAGGAAACTCTTACAATCCCCCCTGTTTTATGTATAAAACTAGAAAACTGATAAAATAAATAGGGCTCATTTCAAGTCTAAAAAAATATATACACTTAACACTTGTTTATCAAGGACGGCATTGCTTATTTCTGCAAGACTGGTAGCACTTGCCAAACAATCAAGTTTTTATTAAAATTGCTGAGCTTACAAAAACGTAAAATTTTTGCTGAAACGAATCTCAAAACTGGGACTGTCCTAACGCAAAATAATAATGCTTGATTTAAATAGACAAAATGCATGAAATGGTTATTTATTTGTTTTATTGGGTTTGGATTTGAAAAGTGAATGGTTATAAAAAGATTGATTAAATTTATTTCCAGGAAATCTAAAAAAAATGACTCATAAAAAGTAAACTAATAATTTATATTCATCCTGATAATCAACACTGCTCCGCGACCATTCCATTCACGCACCATAACCGATTTTTTTTTATTTTATCTGATGCGTTAAAAATGGAACTGACGCTCACCGGCCAATCGCTACCCTCTGCCAGGGCCACAGATTGATTTTTCACACACACAGATTTGTTTTTAGATAAAGAGAAAGTCATTCGATTCTCTGGCTTTTTGGAAAATTTGCTTATATCTGCCACCCTGGTAGAGGGTAGCCATTTGCCACGTGGTTGTCTGGTAGAAGATCGTTAAATATTTTTATATTTTATTTATTCATTAAGTATTCATTCAATCATTTTGGAGACATTGAGCGACCAACTACAGAGTTATATTAGTGCCCATAAACACACCAAATGCCAATGAGGAAGAAGAAGAATATTGGTCGTTCTCACAAATTTGAAGTTTTGCCAAAATTAAACGCGGCGGTGTTTTCCTTTGGCTTGCGAACAATAAACGACGTCATCTCGGAAATCCTAAATCCTATGTGTTGACACTAGGCACAATTATAAGTGGATCCTAGGTTCTTATATATATATATATATATATATATATATATATATATATATATATATATATATATATATATATATATTCTTTATGGATATCAAAGTATAGATTAAATATAATTAACATGTGTCTAAGTGGCTCCTTTAACTTCGTAACAAACAAAATAAACAAAACTATGGAAAGCCCCTTTCTAAAAATAGACCCTCAACTGGCGTGTCATTATTCGATTATATTCCTAGGCGGAGGTCCAACTAATTCACTTTGCATATGAGAATGAGATAGTTTTACCTGTATAAACGATCGGTTTTTCAAATACTGTGATCTTATAACCTTCTAGCAGCCGGTCATTTGAGTGTCAACCGTGGCCACATGTAACCAGCTTTGTCAACATTACATAGTGATCGCCCAGCCGATCGTCATACGACACGCTGCATCTTATATTTAGAACTGCGAATAGAGACACCACATGAGAACGCCGTGCCATGGCACGTAAAAAAATTGCAAGTAACTCGAGCGATTGCAGCACCTTCAGCAGTGATTCTACGGAAACCGACTGGAATCCTGCTGGACCAAGTGTCACCACACCACAGACGCCAGATCTTCCCACTTTCAGCTCGAGCATCGACTTTGAGGAGGCAAATGTATCAGCTCTAGAAGAAGGCAATAGCAGTGCAATTGTCAAAGAGGAACTGAAGTTCTCCATACTTCATCGTAGGTACTCATCTGGGCAAGGAGATAGGCCTATTCCAATCGTGCTGGAAAATATTGAAACGGTAATTTTTATTTTATTTATTTATTTTATTTTATTTATTTATTTATTTATTTATTTTTTATTTATTTATTTATTTATTATTATTTTTTTTTTTTTGACGTGCGAAACATTTTGGTGGGCCCCCAAAACGCTTTGATATTATAGGCCCTACTGTGATCATTTCATATAGGTCTAATTCTAAATGTGTGCAAAATTTTCATGCTGCCTACATATGATTATTTCATGTTTGTGGTCGAAGCGAAAGATAAAATATATGGTTTAAAGAGGCTTACAAAGCGTAAAATGGCTATTCAAAAAAATATTTTGATTTACGCCTTAACTTGGCGCTGTTAGAGCTTCTAAGCTATTTCAAAGTCATTCTGAAGGGGGATTTTTGACCAAGATATTTCGAGAAGGGGGAATTTCAAAAAGGGGATTTTAATTAGGGCATTATAACAAGGAGTTTGTCTCTTTGGTTATAACTTAAATTGATACTTAATTATTACTTCGCAAAGACCTTTTTTTGTGTGCGTCCATATCGTATTTAACTATTTTGGTTTCTGTAAATCAGTAAAAATTTTCAGTTACCACAATTGACTCACATTAAAAACATGAAAGGTTTAAGTACTGATTTACGTTCCCGGCCTTGACGACCAATTGTTAGAGTCCCCAAAATAACTAGTCAGGGGAATTTTTTGTCACGTGACCGAGACAGGTAATTTCCCAAACGCTCGCGCGATATTTAATAGAATGCAAGTATGCGGAAGCTTACTGGATAGACATTTTGGAAACACAGAAAAAGCGTGAGTTCAGCAAAAAACCCAATACGAAAAGAAAATGTCAAGTTAAACGAAAGGAAACAAAGTGATTATTAAACCATTTATTTTGCATTTCGCGCCAGAAACCTTGCATTCATGCAACGAGAAATATAGCTTGTGAAATGTTACCTTTGCTTGATCGCGAACTTGGGCATTGGTTGACTGGGGTGTCAGCCTGCAGATGTATGCTGAGGTGCAAATACGTGCATGTTTGAATGAATTTCATTTGTATGTGATGATGGAGAATATAAGAAAGGTCAATTTTTTTTTTACTTCACCTTGCTTTCCATTCAGTAGCATTTAAAACCAAACAATTTGGTTTTATTTTGCCTACAAAATCAGTTTCCAACAGCATTAAGTTACGTTTTTAAAAAGACTGAATCTTTAAATCAAAAAGATGAAGTGAATCGAATCAAACATTAAAAGTCCACTTAAATAACTTTCTCACATTCTAAATGGTTTTGTGACTGGTCATCGTAGTAGGAATATGAGAAAGACAGTGATTTGTGCAAACAGGACACTCCATTTTATTATTTGAATTGAACGTTTACGATGATAAAATTGTCCGTCAATATGCTATATAAGATGATATATTTTTATTTTTACGACGATAATCAGTACATATTGTTGACAATTCTTTAGAAATGAAGATAGCATACGTGGTCTCTGTCCACGATCTAAAAGGTGTTCCATCAAAAACCATCTATTTTACTTTCCATCTCAATTTTGATATACATGTAATTAAGATATTTCCAACTTTCTTGCAGAATTTGCAAGAGTAAAACGGTCATCCTTGTAGAAAAATTTGGTAAAAGAATGTTGGTAATATATTTATTGTATCAAAATTGAGATGGAAAGCAAAATAGGTCGTTTTTTATGGACCACTGTAAATTGACTTTTTTTAATGAAGTATACATTCATCTAAAGGGTTGACAATGCCTTTAGCCCACACTGTCTACCAGTTGCAAGCTAAGTGATACCGTCAATTCTAGGCAAAATTTCACTAGTACAAAATAATGCATAATACATTACTGTTTAACCAGAAAAGTAACTGTGAATATGAAGTGAAACATCAACCTGTGACTCCTTGTTTCCTGTACTTAGGGCTGCCGAGATTGAAAGAAAACTGTGCGTGTATGTGTGTGTCCGTGCGTGTGTGTGCGCGGGTGGGTGGGAAGGGTTAACCCTTCAGATCCCCCGCGGCTCATAGGCCAATATACAATCCACAATAAATTCACAGACGACAATACTCGAGCCTGTGCGCGGAGACTCCAACAGATTTCTAGTCTGTCGCCGACTGCTCTGTTGACTACATGACGTTTTGTTTTTTCGAGCAAAAAGAACCCGAATTGATTCAGCATTTAGTATTTTAAAGGAGTCGCCAGTAAAAACAAACTTAAAAGGTGACATTTATATATGTTGTTCAATTCTTCACTAAGTGAGGGGGGGGCGTTAACCCGCCACATACCCTGCGGCTCTGTGCACTCTGTAAGTAACAAAACAGTACCGCAGGATTTGAACCTGTGCGGGGAGACCCCAACAGATTTCTAGTCTGTCGCCTTAACCACTCGGCCACGACTGCCCCGATGTTTACTAAATATTTTTTATTTTCATTTATCATCCATCATTTTCGTATTTCAAAGGAATTTTCAATAAAACAAACTCAGGAAAGAAGATTCTTTTGTCTTCCTTGAGTATCTTTTTCTGTGGCTCAGTTAAAATGTGTACCGTTACCATGTTGTTTCAGGGTGCTTTGGAGCAAAACAAGGAAGATGGACCGCTTTTAGAAGAAAGACGAGCTAAAAACAAGGAGGCAGCACAAAAGTGCAGAAAGAAGCAGAAGGAAAAAATGTACTCTCTCATGCAGGTGAGGTTAATGTATTGAAATTTTGGAGAACCACTGATATGTTTTTTACCAATATTTTCTTTTGAATTCAGTATTTTCAAATATATTTTAGTCAAAGCAAAGGAAGTAATTTGCTTTCTTTTTTTCTTTTAAATGAAGCGAGGTTTGTGACTGATTAATGTTAATAAATTCAAAGTTATTTTTAAAAAAACCCAACATGATGTTATTTTGAGATCGCGTACGATTATTCATCATGGCTTTATATATGGAGATGAATTTTGAAGTATTTCTCTGAATAAATAAATAATGCCGACATCAGTAGTGCCGGAAAAGTACATCAATCTCGATCAAAATAATGGATAAATTTGTCCATCGCGGTTTTAATACGCACGTTATGTATTGCAGGAACTTGTCAAATTTCTTTTTCTGCACCGAGCCTGTCTTACTTTGTAACTACTTGCGTTATTCCGATTGCAGGAAGAGCTGCGTGAAGAGGGTAAAGAAAAGAGCCAAAGGTATGAAATAGAAAAACTTCGGGAAGAGAAAGAAAGACTTGAAGAAATCCTGAAAATGCATGAAAAAAGTTTGAACTGTAAACGGCGGCGCATCGAAGGATCGGCACGGCCTTACACGTTTCAGTCAAGCACGATGACATTTACGCAGTTAACATAATACATGTTTCACTATTTACCAAATCAGATAAAACGTGATGCGTTGCCAGGTTTGCACTGATTATAGTTGTTATAGACATTGTGCAAAATAAAATAAACGTTAAAGGAAACATCTTGACTGTATCGAGGATCGTGATATCAGTATCGTCTGGTTTTATTTAAAAAAAAAATAACATAGCCCGTTGACAGTAGCATATATAAGAAATAAATGGATAACAAATGAAACGACATGTCAAAATATTTTAAATATATGACCAGAGCGCTGTCATAGCTGAGTGGTTATAGCTTCATACTGACAACCGCGTGTTTCCCCCCCCCCCCCTTAACATGTTTTAACATATTAAAATAGCAATTAAAGACATTGCACTTTGAGTACCTATATCTAGAAAAAATGTAAGGGAATTTTGTGAACTTTGTTTTGTCTCAGCCTTCAATTAAATATTGTTAATATTTGAATAACATTTCTAGTGCTTGAATTTCGGGCCTATGTAAATATATAAGACTTTGTTTGGCTCAAATATTTGTTAAATATTGGTAAAACCTGTATATTATAATAATACCTGTTCCCATTGAATGGGAATAAAACTAACTTAACTATGTGTGATCTCATTAGAGCTAAAGTCTGTCAACGTTGTGTCACGATAGTTAGAAAAGCTTGTAGTTGACATAAATGACATGTAGCAATGCAAATTGGACACATCAAGTGGTTATTGACTTTCAAATATATTATTTAAATTTCTTTTAATTTCTTTTAATTTTCTTGAAGAGTTTCTCGTGCGCGTCGACTACGGTAAGCACGCCAAGCTAAGTCGTTAGATTCTTTGTGAAACACTCTTAGTCGACTGCAGCGTAGTCGACCTAGCTAGGTCATCCAGCTCGAGATAGTCAACTACGGATTTAAGATTCTTTGTGAAACGGGGGCCAGGGCTAGGGAGTTCCAGATATATTGGTCCGGAATCTAATGCAGTATTATAACATAATGTAAACAGAAATTATTCAGTGAAATTAAAGGTGTATGTACTGATATTGTATGTTCTAATATATTCTGAGCACTGTGTCTATCTGTGTCTTCGTCGACCGACTCATCTAGATCTGTTGTTTAACCTATCCAGAAAGCACAGAACGTTTTGATAACGTCCCTACAAGGTTATATATATATCAAGGTATACTGGTTAAACCACCAAATTCTGTTACAAAAACTAATACTAGGACTACAGAAACAAATTTGAAAATAGTCCAAATCCCATAGACCATACCCAGGCAGTGGGAATTAATAGTACGATCTTTAATCCTGCTGGAATATCACAGGGAGTTCCTCGGTGGTGTATAATAGGCCCACTCTTATTATTATTTTAATAATAAATGAAATGTCATCAACATTAAAATGCTCAAAGCAATGCTGTTTTGTATGCGGATCTAGTCTGGAGGAAATTCAGAAGCGACTTTCGTCGGAGTAAGAGTCTGCCAGAATGGCAGATTGATAATAATGATAACTTAGTGTTTGTTACTTCCAAGAAGGTTCTAATAGCCATCAACACCGTAAAGAACTTTATCAAAATGATTTATTATGTGTCCTTAAGTCATCTTTATAGTTGTTTGGTGTTAATGATACCCTAGTGAATTGTTTTACCTTAACTTTAAGAAGTACATTCCAAAAACCTTGCTCGGAAGGTCAGCTTACACAGGGGTGAATAAGTGAAGATGTGGACAACAATGGCGATTACAGTTCAATAGTACTTTACGGGTGTCAGGTTCCGTATGAAGCTACAC